ATCAATACATCTTGATTGCATGTTTGATCAATTTCAGATTGAAGAAGTTGGTAGAATTCTTCTATTTCATCCTCACTGGCTTTAGTGGTTGGTGAATAAATTTGAATAATAGTGGTATTAACTGGGCTTCCCTGTAGGTGCATGGATATTATCCTTTCACATACAACATTGTACCTCATGACTGATCTGGATATGTTCTTTTTGACGATAAATGCAACACCATTCCTTTCCAATTTGTCATTCCTGGGATAATAAACCATGTGGTTGTCAGATTCAAAATGGCCAATACCAGTCCATTTCAGCTCACTAATGCCTAAAATATCAATGTTTATGCATTCCATTTCATTTTTGACAACTTCTAATTTCCCAGATTCACACTTCATACATTCCATGTTCCTATTTTCAATGGATGTTTACAGCTGTTTCTCTTCATTTTGAGTTGTGCCCCATCAACAAGCTTAACTCCATTCACATCATCATGGTCAACTCTGCTTTGAGGAGGCAGCTCTTCCCCAGTCGCATTTTGAGTGCCTTCTAACCTGAGGGGCTCATTTTCCGGCACTGTATCTGACAGTATTTCTCTGCTATTCATAAGGTTTTCAGTGACTAAAGATTCAGAAGTAGTTTGTCACTCTTTCTTCCTAGTCTGTCTTTGTCTGGAAGCTTATCTGAAAACTGTCCACCATGGGTGACCCTGCTGGTTATTTAAAACACCAGTGGCATAGCCCTCCGAATCATAGCAACTCACAAGCCAACACCGTACGACAGACAGACAAGTAGTGGCCGTTTGTTTTTATGTAGAAATTGTCACTTTAAATTTCGAGGAGATCTGTGTGCATGCATAATAGAACCTCCCAGGAGTGGGGTGGGTTATCCATTTGCTCAGGTATCCCCTCTAGTTACCAGAATGGAGGTGCGCAGTCAGCAAGAGACCAATGAACAATGGACAGATACCAAAAAAAAGAATGTCCACACCTGTATCTCCTTGGTTCTGTCAGGTGTTCATGGCTGTTCTGATCCTTCCCCCACTTGTTCTCTCCCAAGAGGGCGGCTCCGGGAATAGCTGAGCGTCTTGAATTAGAAAGCAATGGATTACCCATTTTACTATTAATAAAACATTCTCAAACTCATTCCCTTGGAGTCGGTTTCAAACTTATAAGACAGAGTAGAATTTCCCCATGGTATTTCTGAGGTGTAAATCTTTACATTAACAGCAACAACAAATCTTTACAGGAGTCGGTTCCATGGAGTCAGTTCTGACTCATAGCTATACTCCATAGGGTTTCCGAGGCTGTAAATCTTTACAGGAGCAGAAAGCCTCATCTTCTACCGTGGAACAGCTGGTAGTTTCAAACTGCTGACCTTGAGGTTAGCAGCTGAGTAGAAAGCCTCCTCTTTCCCCCATGGAGCAGCTAGTGGATTCGAACTACAGATCTTGTGGTTAGCAGCCCACTAAGCCATTCAAACATTAATTATATTATTAAATGAAAATGCTTCAAACCTCATCAAAAGTGATTTGTGCTATATATCTATGCCAAGAAGGGTAAAATGGAAAAAATAAAAGTTTGTACCTATTTGGAGGTAAAACCCTTTCTTCCATACAGAAATCTTGGTTCACTATGATCTCGTGAGCAATGTTCAACCTGGAAACTTTATTAACTGTCTCTGTTAGATCTGTAGCAGAAGGAACTTCAGATCGACTCTCTGGGAAAAGGCACAGCAGTTGTTAGCAGGGAACCCACACAAAATTCATAGTTTATTACACAGTCAAGTAAGGTACCATCTCCTTGCTCCCACACCTTCCACCCCCACCAATTAAAAACATCTTTAATTGTGTCTTGAATTAAAATTTACAGTGCAAATTAGTTTTTCATTCAAGAATTCATGCACATGTTTGTTTGTTTTTTCTTTCATGATTGCAATAGCCACAATGTAACAACACTCTTCCCACTTCCTCCCTGTGTTCTCAAATTCTATCCATCTTTCTTTCCTGTCCTATTCTTCCTTCAGAGTTTTTCCCTAGGAAAATGTTGCCCTTTTGCTCCTATATGTTTGATCGTTATCATTGTTCACCGTACAGTCCTATTATTTGGCTGAAAGTTGATCCATCAGGTTGAGTTCAGTTTCAAGCTTGAAGGGTGTCTAAGGACCAGTCTCATGAACTCCACCAGTCTCTATTAGACCAGTAAGCTTGATCTTTTTTGTGATTTTGAGTTTTGTACTACATTTTTCTCTAACTCTATTGAGGACCTTTTACTGTGATTCCAATCAGAGTGGTCAATATTGACCAGCAGGGCACCATCTAATTCTAGTCTCAGGGTCATGTACTATTTTTTTCTGCTTGTCTGATTTTCTTCACTCTTCTTTGCTCCGAATAAGGATAGACCAACAATTGCACTTTAGATAGCTGCTCTTGAGCTTTTAAGACCCCAGTCACTACTCACCAAAGTAGTATGTAGAACATTATGTTTGCGAACTATATTATGCCAATAGACCTTGATATTCCCAGAGACTATGGTTCTGAGCCCCCATGCCCAGCGACTCATTTTAAGGCTTGAGTCTCTAAGTTCAGATTTCTGAAATGGATCTTATACAGACACTCAATCATTCTAGTATTGGGGGTTTCTGAATGATTTGTCCTCTGACAGTGATGGACCCTCCCAGAGTAGTCAGGCATGGGGAAAAGATAAAAAGTTTTTTAAAAACTGTGGGGAGAAAAGTGAAATAGATTTAAAACTTCTTTCCCTTGAAATGTTAAAACAGTAAGACACAGCAAAGAAACAATGAGTAGCTTATGAGTTGTAAAAAATAAGCATTTATATGAAAATTACTGTGGTTCTGCTCACCTCCCTTTACCTCTGATTCTACACACAAGATGAAAGCTCTGTGAGGTTTAACAAGCTAAACCACAACCTCAAATGCCTACAACATGGTATGGAAGAGATCGCATGTCCCAATGTATACATAAAAACACTGTTGTCAGATCTAAAAGATTTGACACCAAAGCAATGCTAATTGCTATGTCAGCAATATGCCCTAGGAAAAGGACCTAACACAACTCCAGTTCTTATAATTTGGATTCCTTCAAGTCTATCTCAGTTAACTACCGTTTACAACCCAAAAAATCTAAATATAAAAATGGGATCCGTGCTTTGAACTAACTCAACCTTTACTGGGGCTTTTAAAATGTAAGTAATCATGCTTGTTTCTTTCTCTAGAGACTAAAACAACAACAACAAAGCACCTCTTTAAATCATTCTTGTCAGGGGCCTACTACCTGCATGTAAAGATTGTTGTTAAATGCCACCCAGTTGTTCTGACTCACAGCGACACTGTATAGGGTTTCTGACCCTGCAAATCTTTGTAAGATCAGGAAGTCTTATCTTTCTCTCAAGGAGCAGCTGGTGGCTTTTAACTACGGACCTTGTGGTTGGCAGTCCAGTGCTTATCATATTTCTTTAACTGCTATAAAGCACTACATAAGCCCGAAATGATGGCTGAGAATTCTAGACCTACCAGGAGAATGGTCATGTAGGCAGTAATTCTTGTTTTCCTGGCTCTGCTCTGGTGTTTTAGACACATGGGGTGTAGTTTCTGCTTCGCTAGGATCATTCTGGCACACAGTTTCTTCGATCTTAGGCATGTTGATGTTATCTGGAAATGGGGAGACAAAAAAGGGGCAAGCTGTTGATGTCATACTGGCTCTGACCCAGCAAAGGAAGTCTTCAATTTCTATCTTGTTTCCTGATGTCTTAACCTACTGCTTTGAGTTTATGGAGTTCGGAATAATGACCTCAAGGATCTCAGAGGAATAGCTAGGGTCCTGAAACAGGTATAGGGAAAAGGAGAATTTAGGACTAGCGGGACTGCCTTTTCTGAAATCAAATAAATTATAATTCTGGGTGAGCAGAAAAGGAAAGGTTCACATAAGGGCTATGATTTGCCAAGTCAGAAGACACATGACTGGCAGAACTACACTAAGAAACTTCCTCTACTCTGGTTCTCTTTAGTTGGCCCCAGAATGAAACCTTTCATCCATAACTTTTATTCCAGTCCCGTTTTGGGTGCTGAAGTGAGCAAGTGGCCCAACTCAAGTCAGCAGGACACTCCTACAGCCATCCAGACCCTGGCCTCTCACCTCTGGCCCGTTCCTTGACCGTGTGCTCCTCGGCTGAATCTGATTCTGTGGTCCCTGGAGCTGTCTAAACTAATCCTAGGATGTACCATCACGACTTGAGCGGGAGGGGAGATCAGGAAGGAAGGAACTGGACTAAACCATGAAGATCATGAGACCTACCTCGAGAGCACCCCTGGCCAATGTTAGGTGGTAGAGTCCAGTATTTGACAACAAAGAGTGGCCTGTCTCCTAAGTAACTGATTGTGGGGCCAGGTCACATTTGTTGGGTACCTTGAGAACCCTGAGATCTGGGAAGGCATTATGGCCTGTCATTTGGCGTAAAGGCAGGAAGTAGAAAGGAGCTGTGAAGAGATTTCTGGCTCATGCTCTGCCTTGCAGCCTCTAAGTCCCTAGAGAGCTGTGTGTGTGTGTGTGTGTGTGTGTGTGTGTGTGTGTGTGTGTGTGTGCGCGCGCGCACGCGCGCGCGCGCAGCTTCTCAGGTGTTTATCCACCACAGGGGGTGCTGTCCAAAGCTTTTCTCATCTCTCTCCCCTCCCCTACTGACCGCCAGAACCATTCAAATAACTAGAAAGGAAAGGGATGATTGTTTTTTTGGTTTGTTTAGCTTTTACTTCACACTATTCATGTAGCTATAAGGAGCTCTGGTAGAGTAGTGGTTACGAATCGGGCTGCGAACCGCAAGGTCAGCAGTTCGAGACTACCAGCTGTTCCACTGGAGAAAGATGAGGCTTTCTGCTCCCGTAAAGATTTCCAGCCTCGGAAACCCTGTACAGGGTCGCTATGAGTCGAATCCGACTCTACAGCACATAACAACAACAACATTCATGTAGCTATAGAAATAATAAGCAAAGTTGCAGAATAGAATTCTGTTTGTGATTTATTTGGTTGATTTTAAGTGAACCTTCCATGCAATTTTCTTATTGTTGTTGTTAAGTGGAATCGAGTAGGTTCTGACTCATAGCAACCCTGTATAGGGTTTCCAAATAGCGGCTAGTGGGTTTGAACTGCCAACTTTGTAGTTCGAAGTTCAGTGCTGATCCTACAGCGCCACACCAGATGTCTGAGGACAGATAAACAGAGTATCTGTTAAACTCTCATTAATGTGGAAATGAAGAGTCATTTCAAAGGGCTGGTCATAGACGTTCTGTGGTAAAGGAGTAAGACCACAAGCTTAGGGATCGGAGCGGAGCTTAAGTTTTGGTTCCGATTCTTATAACAAATTCCTAGCATATTCTTGATTACCATCTAATTGTTAATCTTGAACCTCATCTGTAACCTGAGGGGACTGGGTTAAATGACTTTAAGGGTCCTCATGGACCTCACTCTTCAAGGATCCAGATCATTGGACATTTCACAACTCCAGTCTACTTTGTCATAGTAATATGGAAACTCCTGGATTGGAAATAATGTTAGCTGTAGGGATTTTTCACATGCTCTTAATCAAGTTGAGGAAATTTTCCTCTATTCCTAGTGTGCTGACATAACTTTTCATGGTTTGATAGCTTATTCATTTTTATCATTGAAGAATATCTCATTGTATGGATGTGCCATAGTTTGCATATTTTTCAACAATTAAAGGACACCTTTGTAATCATGAATTAAAGTGCTACAAGCATTCATACAGTCCAGATATTTGTGTGGACATAAGTTTTCATCTCAGCTAAGTATCTAGAAGACTACAATTATCTTGTTAAGAAACTGCTAAAATGTCTTCTAAAGTGAGTGAAACATTTCCCATTACTATCAGCAATAAATGAAGCCTCTTCTTGTTCCATATCCTTGGCAGTACTTGGTAATATCAGTTTTATTTTTAAATTTTTAGTTATTCTAACATGTGTGTGGAGTCCCTGAGTGATGGAAGTGGTTAATGAGTTAGACTTCTACCTGAAAGAGTGTAGGTTCCAGTGCATCCAGAGGGACTTCAGAAGAAAAGTCTAGTTATCTACATTAAAAAGAATAGCTATTGAGAACTCTATGGTGCATAGTTCTACTGTGAATCAACTCAATAGGAAACTGGTTTGGTGGTATCTCATTGTTGTTTTAATTTGCAGTAACCTAATGACATATGAAGGACTCCTTTTGGGGCACTGTAGGCTAATGTGTCAGAATGCAAAGTCAGTTTGACCTGCAAGGTCAGTTGTTCAAGCTCACCAGCTGCTCCTTGGAAATCCTATACAGGGTCGCTATGGGTCAGAATTGACTTGACGGAACATAACAACAACAACAAATAACTTATGAACACTAATGAAGACTTGACAAGCTGTGGAATGCCATGAACGACATGCAAAAAGAAACCAAAGGTCATTAAAACGAAAAGAAAGAAAGAAAATACCAAAATGGATGTCAACACAGACTCTGATACTTGCTCTAGAATGTAGAGAAGTTAAAGTGGAAGGAAGAAATGATGAAATAAAAGAACTAAACAGAAGATTTCAAAGGGCAACTTGAGAAGACAAAGTATTATAATGAAATGTGCAAAGACTTGGAGGTAGAAGACCAAAAGAGAACATGCTCAGCATTTTTCAAGCTGAAAGAACTGAAAAAAAAAAAAAAAAAAGTCTTGCATTGCAATATTGAAGTATTTGATGTGTAAAATATTGAACTACAAAGGAAGCATCAAAAGAAGATAGAAGGAGACTTCCACGTCAAGATGGTGGATTAGATATATGCTGAATTTCAGAGGATAAGACAGAGAGCTGGATCCAATGTCAACAGGAAGAGGAAGCAGAACAGGAGCAGCAAGGAAAAAAAATAAAATAAAATAAGCAGGCAGACTGCAGGCTGACCTGGAGTGGTGAGATCATTTTGAGCTTTTGGAGGGGCTGTTGATATAGTGGCCTACAGGCACAGGAAGTGACTGGTGTTTGGTGTCAAATAGGTGTGTTTCTCCCATTTTCCTGTTAGTTTCGGGTGTGACCAGTCCCTGTCCTTAAATACCCTGTGGTCAGTGGCACCCACTCTGTGCAGCTTCTGCGATAACTATGGTCAGGCACCTGGCATACCACCCCTGCTGCTTGAGGGGTGTGAACTCATCCTGAACTATATTACACAAGAAGTAAACAGGAAACTGCATTCACACTTCTAGTTTCCATCACACCCATCAGGAGACAGGTGGTGAGTACCTGAGAACACACCAAAATATGATAATCAAATAAATAAATATACAGTACCACAGTGTCTTATAGGAGCTCTGGTAGCGTAGTGGTTACGAATCGGGCTGCGAACCTTAAGGTCAGCGGTTCGAAACTACCAGCCGCTCCGCGGGAGAAAGATGAGGCTTTCTACTCCCGTAAAGATTTACACCCTCGGAAACCCTGTACAGGGTCGCTATGGGTCGAAACCGACTCGACGGCATTTAACAACAACAACAACAAAACCACAGTGTCTTAGAGAAAGCAAACAATTTCAACTCACATGAAGAAACAAGAGAGAATGCCTCAAACAAGTGAACAGAGTCAGAGTCAGAAAATATACCAGAAATGGTATCAGAATTACTTGGTAAATAAGGAATTTAAGAGAATTATGTGGCGTGGAGCTGTGGATTAATGCATGTCTAGACTACTAGGTCTGCTGCAACCACAATATCAATGGTTCAAGCTCACCAGCCACTCCTCGGAAACCCTATACAGGGTCGCTATGGGTTGAAACAGACTCAATGGCACTACAGCAACATATTTAGACACGTTCCACAGATTGAGAGCATGCAGCTGAAATCAAGGAAAACACAGACAACATTTTAGAAGAATCCAGAAACAGACTGACAAATAAATGAAAACATAGAAACCATAGGGGAAAAAAAAGCAATTAAAAAGTCAGAAGATTAATACTACAGAAATAGATAATATATTGAAAGGACAAAGAATTAGAATCAACGGAAAGCAGAATTACTAAGAATGAAGACAAATCTCTCAATATTTATCGGCTAGAGGAACAATTAGAAAAAAATAATTTTAAAAAATTGAATGAAAGCTTAGGATTTATGTGGGACACTATAAACAGGAATAACTAATAATACTAAACTCTGATTTCCCAGCAGAAATCATGCAGGCAAGAATACAATATATCAAATTCTGAAATTAAAAAAATGCCAAGAAATAATCATATACCCTGCAAAATGGTCCATCAACTATGACAGCAAAATTAGGGCGTTTCCTGATAAACAGAAATTAAAAGAATTTGCAAAAACCAAACCAACCTTACAGAAAATACTAACATAAGTTATCTGGACAGAGAATTAAAAACAGCAGACAACAACGTGAGATTAACATACATGACAAAATCACCTAGAACTCAAGTAAAACAAACCTACAAGTCTGCAATAGGGAACCAGAGATACTAGTTGCAACAACAACAAAAATTCATAAAGTAAAAAGAGGGGGGAAAGTAGTTACAGAACATCCAAATAAAGACAAAATCAAATTGATTTCAAGAAAAAGTTAAATACATAAAAAAAAAAACACACCTAAATGTAACCCTAAGACTAAGCCAAGTCTTCCTCCTAGCCCTAACCATAACTCTTACAGGAAATGAAGTCGTATTCCTAGTATGTTTTTGTTGATAGGTGCCATGAAGTCACTTCCAACTCATAGTGACCCTGTACGGGGTTTCCGAGGCTGTAAATCTTTATGGGAGCAGAAAGCCTCATCTTTCTCCCAAGTAACAGCTGGTAGTTTAAAACTGCTGACCTTGCGGTTCGCAGCCTGATTCGTAACCACTACGCTACCAGAGGTCTTTATTCTTAGTATAGATAGCTATAGTCTTAGCCCTAGCTCCTTATCCTTACCCCCAAATAAAAATACAAAATATATTATAAACAAGTAAATACATAGAATTAACTGGAATTCTGAAGATTTTTAGTTATTAAATTTTGAAAAAGAATATAAAGAGAATGAAAGGAATATCGAGTCATTGTACCAAAAAGAATTGGTTGATGTTCATCCATTTCAAGATGTGGCATATGATCAAGAATCTATGATATTGTAGGAAGAAGTCCAAGCTGCACTGAAGACATTAGCAAAAAAAAAAAAAACAAAAAAAAAAAACAAGGCTCCAAGAATTGAGAAAATACAGATCAAAATGTTTCAACAAACTGATGTAGTGCTGGAGGCGCTCACTTTTCTATATGTTAAAAAATTTGGAAGAAAGCTACTTGACCAACCAATTGGAAGAGATACATATTTG